TAACGTAAAAATATTTGATTAGTCATTATTTTGAAACTATTTAATTAGCATTCTTTATTTTTTTTATAATTAATCCATATAATATGAAAAAATAATTTTTTTTTTATTTTTTCCATAACTCTTAAGCTTGTGAATAATTTTCATCATAACATTTGTATCATCCAAGTACGAAATCACATTTTATAATAATCATCTTTCTCAGAATACTTTTAAAAAACTATATTCACCGTTGGTATATAATATAACAGGATATATCCCCATTCAGTAATTATTTCAATTTATTACTTATATAAAAGATATTTTTTTTTTTTTAAGAAAAATTCAATTTTCAAAAAACAATATTAAAGAATTTTACTCTTTAGCACTTTTTTTTTATTTTTTTTTTTTTTTTTATTAATTGTCATGGAAAAAAGTTTGTAAATTTAACTGTTACTTTTAAAGTAAACATTGCCGATATTAATTAAGTGCTCTCATTTTTTACATTTTCTTTATCATATTCTAAGAGTTTAAAGTAAAATTAATGATTAATTGTATAAACAATAATTCATTTGAAAAAAAAGAAAAAAAAAAGAAAAAAATAAGAGACAAAGCAATTTCTAATAGCTAAATGTGATTTTACAGTATCTTCTGGGGTAGCATACACGGCTTTTATAATATTCGCCTATAGTTTTACATGTTCACTTATGCGAAAGGGTTGGAAAGAAGCAGGATTATCTACACAAACTCATATATAATTCATGCTCTTTCATACTTTTTTTTTTTTCTTCTTCTTCTTTTTTTCAACAATAATATATACACCAAGAATCACAGACTTTCGCATTCGCCAACAGTATGTTTATCAAGAAAAATAAAACATAAAAGTATCATGTTAATTTTAACAACAATTAGAATATCCAATTAAATTTCTCTATGAAAAGTAATAAATTTATATTATTTTGTATCTAAAAAAAGAAAAGAAAAAAAAAACCAACCAAAAATGTTAATTAAATCATTTATATAATATACTTAATAATCATTAATATTTGAACGATCGTATAATAATAATAATTCTTTATATCTCTGAGTATAATAAACTAAACAATGTCTTCTCTCTGATTTGTTAAACTTATTTAAAGAATACTGCCGCTTATATTGATGCACCGTTTTTTTTAAATGGCCCAACAAATATCAAAAATCAAACGTTTCCACCACGAGATTCAACCTCACAGAAGATATTTCGTTCATTGAAAAAACGTGGATATACATAGAGACATATTTTTTTCATAATAGTATTGCAAGTTACTTCAATGTTTTTGTTTTTTTGTTTTTTTGTTTTTATAAACTGCAAATTCTCAGCTATACATATCTTAAAACTATCTTACTAAGTAACTGCTTGGCATTATAACTTTAGTAGTAGTAATAGTAATAGTAGTAGTAGTAATAACTTTATAAACAAAAAGTTATACCTTCTTAATTGTATTAGATTCATTTATAGTCTATGAGCACAATGCGTAATTGGATAAATTCGTAGTAGTAATAATATTAACTGATTTTTGTAATGTAAAATTTATATATAAGAGAGAGAAAAAAAAAAAAAAAGGAAGTTATAAACTGACCAGTAAAAAATCTGACTTCAAGCAGATTACATACTAAGATAGCCACGTGATTGGCTTCGTTTACGTCCTATAAGATAGGCAACCAATACAATGACTACCAAAACTGCTAGTGCACAACCCACAGCTATTGGGACAATGTCTGGTGTGTCCAGTTTGCAGTCTTTGACTATACACAAATAATAAATGAAAATGATTATATATTATAATATAACAGTTAATTATACATTCATGAGAAATAATATTTTACCTTCGCCAAAATTAACAGATTTGTCAGCTTTAAAAGCTTGGAATTGCAAATCAGACATCATTAAATATCCTTTTGTTTTGTTAGAGTCAAAAGTGAAATTTTCTTGTTTCAAACATCTGTAAGAGTTACTTAAACCGGTAGAGAATAATGTTGCATTGTGTATAAACATTGTAGTTTTATCTGTAAATAAAATTGAAATGTTATAAAGATAATTAAAACATTGTAATGAGAATTAATAACAGAGAGAGAGAGAGAGAGAGAAAAAAAAAATGAAAATCTTCAACAACAACAAAAATATAAAACATCTCTTACTTCCTTCAGTAATATTAAGTTCTAAATGATGAAAATGATATTGTTTTGTTGTATCATTCTTGGAAAAGTGAAGAGTAAAAGTATTAGTAACATTTACAGTGGTATTCCATTGCAAAGCTATAGATTGTTCTAATTTTCCACAGGAACCAGATACTTTAGTCTCATTTGTTCTATCAGGTAGATTGAATACTTTGTATGTCGTCTAAAAAGAAAAAAAGAAACAAATGTTAACAATATTATTCTTTTTTTTCAAAGAAATCTTATAAATAAGAAAAACAAATTTACAATAATATTTTTGAAATAAGTGAAATTAAAAACAAACCTGATTAGTTTGATCAGAAAATTCAGAAACGTTAAATTGTACAGCCATAGCAACAACAATACAAGTTTCATTGGATCCATTGAGTATCCATTTTCCAGGTTTTGGAGTTGGTAATGGGACGGGTGGTGCTGCAGTGGTGGTTGGTGGTGGTGAAGGAGTGGTAGTGGATGTTGTCGTTGTTTTTGGAGTAGTAGTAGTAGTAGTAGTAGTAGTAGTAGTAGTAGTAGTAGTAGTAGTTGTTGTTGTATTAGGTTTTAAAGTATTTGGTACTACAGGTTCTTCAGTATTATTATTTGTATTAGAATCAGTTTCAGCAACACTTTTTGGTGTATTTTGATCTACGAGTGTATTTGCAGATGTAATTTCAATAATCGGAGTAGTATTCGGCAATGCAGAATCTTGTTTTTTAATATTTGCTGCTGCTGCTGCTGCTGCTGCTACTGCATTTGGTACAATAGTATTTTTTACTTGTGGATCTATTGGATTTGCATTAGGTGTTAAAGATTGTTTAGAATCTGCTTGTACTGTTTGATCAACTACATTGTTAGAATTTGGATGTAAATTGACATTTGCTGATGGTACTTGTCCAATATTTGCAGATTCATTGAAAATCTTTGCCTTCGTTTGATCATGAGACTGTCCATTTATACCATAACCTATAAAATATTCAAATTTCAATATATACTTTCATATTGCGTGAGATTAATCTTTAATTGTTATATAAAATTATACGCATAATATGTGCATAATATATATATATATATGTGTGTGTTAATAAATTATCATTGAACAGTGTAAAAAAAAAAATATATATATATTTCTTATCAGGATTTCTTTCTCGCCATTATTTATTTTTTATCTTTGTCTTGTATTTTTATTATTTTTTTTACATACACGTGAACATTCAATGCAATTTGTTAATACATTATAAATAGCTTAGTTAATACATTAGCTAATTCAAAGGAATAATATTTCTTATCTCTTGTTTAGTTTAATAAAGTTGAAAATATTTTTATATACATTTTTTTTCTTTTTTTTTTTTTTTTTATAACACAAAATATCCATCTAACTTATCAAACACATATTTTCATCGATTTGTGACGCACTAATATTTTATATTATACAAAGAAGATTATTTAGTTTCATATTGAATATAAAATATATGATTAATGATTCAACAATTCATTATAAATAATTAATAAAATTAATAGAAAGTATGTGTGATTTTTATGATTTATTTTTTAATATATATATGTATATATATGTACATTAACATAACATATGATTAATGATTCAAAAATGCATTATAAATGATTAATAAAATTAATAGAAAGTATGAGTGATTTTTATGATTTATTTTTTAATATATATATATATATATATATACATATATATGTACATTAACATAACAAGTAATTTTTTGTATTACGTGTAAAAAAATATGAATAATTTCAAATATAAATATCAAAGTTATGACTTCATCATCCACCCTCCTAGTTCTTATCTTATGTAATATATACGATACTAGATTATGCATGCATCTGCATATTAAATTCCTTTCTTTTTCTGTATAATTAAATTCAGTATATAATATGCAATTACTATAAAAACTGTCTTAAGAATGTAAACTCAAAAAAAAAAAAAAAAGAAGAAATAATTTTGACACAATGGATTTAAATAAACATTTGTATTGTAACATTAATTTTTAATCATATGTATATATATAAAAAAAAGAAAAAAAAAATAGAAAGATAAAAACATATTGATAACTTTTCTAACTTATTTTTGTTATGCCATATTTTTTTAAAACATTATTAATAATAATAATAATAAAATGATTAATTATTTAAAAATCATCTTTAAACAACATCTTTGAACAAAGGATAATTATAACATTTTGTTTCACAATGTTATTATTAATAAATTGACGTTTTATTTTATTTCATTATATTATTTTGAAATGTTGAAATTAAATGCAATTTGTAACATAAATGAAAAATTGTTCGATTTTAATGTCGTTAGAAAATCAAATCCTCCTCCTCCTCCTCCTCCTCCTCCCCCACCTTCAGATTATTCAGAAAACATACGTGAACGACAAGCTACCGTCTTTTATTTTACATTCCTTTTCTTTTTTTTTTTTTTTTTATTAATATTATATTTACATATATCTATTACACGAATTTTGCTCGTAGTTTTATCGATCGTCAAAATCAAATAAAAGTATTGTCGTTCAATATGTTATATCAATTTGTACAATCTTCATATATTAATTATAAAAAAAAAAAAATTAGAAATCAAATTTGATTGCATTCATCAAAACGTAATTACATCAAAAGCATACAAAGAGAAAGAAAAAAAGAAAGAAAGAAAGAAAGAAAGAAAAAAAAAAATTCCCTTTTTTATTTCTAGATGGAAAATTACTTTATAGATTGCTACGTCATGAATCTCTTTCTCTTTCTCTCATATACTAACACGATCTGCCATTTGCATTAAAATTATCAGTAAATATATATATATATATATACATATATAATATAAATCTGTATACGTACCTGATATTGCGCAAAATAAAATAAGCAATGTGATTTTAAACATGTCGGCTAATAATCAATTAACTTCACTGTTTTCTTGTTAATCCTAGACAGAATTGTACTTTACCTCTGATATACCGATGAAATCTGAATATCACGAGAAGACAACGAACGTTAAAATGGGTATCAAATACAAAATAAAGCAAACAGCTTGACTTTTATCAAGCGTTCGAAAACTCACCGAAATTATGCGAAATATACAATCGAAGTAGCTTAAAGGCAAGTTCACAAATGCGATTATATTATTGTTGATTAAATTGATTTTTAATTAATATTATATATCAAAGGTAATAACTGTTGATTTTATTTTTTTTTTTAATTTAATTCTAATTTTTAATTAAAAAAAAACACACACAAGTCGTTCTTTTTAATTTATTGATGAAAGCACCACAGTCCAAGATGGAGGTTCTCTTTGTTCTGTTCTATTACGTCTTCCCCCACTATACCCCAACCGTAGTACTGTTATAATCATTTTTATTGGTTCTTACCGGAATGAAGAATTTTGTGCGCATGCGCAATTGTTAGGCGGCATATAATGCTTCATTTGAATAGAAAGGACTAATTGTAAATTTGATTTATCTTTTTACTATAATAACGAGATATTTATTATAAAAGTGCAAGTTTATTGATAACAAAACTTCAAAAGATTTCGTTTAATTTCAAACATGATATAATATTAATAAAGCAATATTTGCTTTATTTAAATTTTGTTGGAAAATATTATTTGCATAAATTTACCTTCAATTTATTATTTTGTCGTTTTATTATAATTATCAGAAGTATATCGTTTAAGGATATATGTGTAATTTTTATATTCAGTCTATGCTATTTGAGAATTCATTCCACCTAATCTCTTCAGTTTTCTTGCATCTTCTTGTTTTTGTAATAAAGGAATTAAAAATAATATTAAACCACTAATAGCAATCATACTGCCAGCAGTATAAAAACCAGGGTCATATGAACCAAGTCCATCATATAACCAACCTGAAAATAATCAAATTGAAAATTAACAAATTTACATTCATGTATATTCAATGTATTTAATAATTCTGCATTTTGTAACCTGCTATAGGTGGTCCAAGAAGAGATGCAAAGCCTTGGAAAAGTAATAATAATCCAAAGGAATTTGTAAGACGACTTAAGCCTAATAAATCAACTAAAATAACAGAAGTAAGGCCTACGTATGCTCCAGCAGTAAAGCCATAAACGATACAGTAAAATGCAAAAGTATAAAAATTGGTACATAAAGTGCTAAATAGTGTAGCTACAATAAGAAAAATATTATTATATATATATATTTTTATTATTAATTTGTCTATTATTTATAAATTATTACTTACCAGCACCACATATCGTTAAACAAATATTATAGACAAGAAGTCGATTGATCCATGGCTTATCAGATACATATCCTAAAATAATACGACCTAAAGTATTAGCTACTCCAATAATTGCAAGTAAATAACTAGCTAAGCTTTTGTTTATTCCTCGTTCTTCTGCTTGTGGCTGTAAACAAGAAAATATATAATTACAAAGTACTTTTAAAGAATTCAAAAGTGCGAACAATAATTATTGATATTTACCAGTAGGTATATATAAGGCACATTAAATCCAATACTGGTACAAAAATTAGAAAATGTAAAAAGAATGAACATAGGATTCTTTAAAAGAGAAGTATCCTCCATATCTTCAAGTATATCTCTCGTATTTTCAGATTTAGGGGACAATGCCGTATTATTTTTAGCCTTATTTATTTCAATATTCTTCGATACATTTTTAAAATATGTATCTGAGTGAGTAATATCCTCTTTATTATTAACATCCAAGGATTTACTGTAAAAGTATACAATAAATTTAATTAATATACAATTATCTCAGATTATTAAATCATTTATGAAAAACAATGTATTATAAGAACATTTCTGTATAATGCAATTTAAAAATAGATATTGATAATATAATAAGAAGAGATAAAAATAAAATTAAAATACAAATAGAATCTTAATGCAAATGATACAGACGAATAATTACGAATGTTTCCCAGACTGCCATGATGAAATCCGTTGTAACACCTGTTCACTTCGACACTTCCAAATCCTCTTATAAGTGATTGTTTATAATGACTGCTAACTTTAGTTATTAATACAGGATGACTTAAAGCAGTCCTCATACCAAAAGAAAGTGGCATAACTTCCTTTTCAATATCATTTACATTATTGAATTTAATATTATTTTTCAGATCGTTAACTTCATTTGAACATTCATCTTGATTGGTAAATTTGTCTCTACTTTGTAATTCATGATATATTCCCTAAAACAGAAACAAACGTTTTAATTAAACTATAAAATTATTTTGTTTTGTTATTACATTAAATTAATTGATCAATTATACCTCTGAATTACGATTCCTTTTAGACACTGGAGTTTCGAGTGGTCTGAAAAAAGCTCCGAGTACAATACAATTCAAAACAATACCAGAACATATCATCATTGTTCCTCTCCATCCATAATTTGATATAAGAGATTCCAAACAAGGAGCAAAAACGAGAGTTCCTAAACCTGAACCACAAACGGCTATACCCGTAGCTAACGAACGATACTTTTCAAAGTAACAAGTAACGCTCACTATAGCTGGTAAATATATTAATCCAAAACCTAAACCTGTGTACATATAAATATAACAACATTGTGATTTTAAAGAATAATTGAAAAGAAATTATTTCATTTCATTTACCTGTTCCAAGGCCAATGGTGAAGTATAACATAATGATACTACCTGCCCATACACTTGCTAACAGACAAGTACTTGCTAAAATTGAACCTGCTATGGTTACCGCTCGACAGCCATATTTGTTCACAAACAATCCAGATATTGGACCTTTAAATTGAACAAGAAAATTCCAATTATTACAAGTAAATTATATACAATTATTATCAATTAATTATTAAATTTAATTATGTGGATATTTCTTACCTGAACACAAAGTTACACCAACGAGTATGGAAGCAATCCAAGCAGTTGCTCCTTTTCCTTCCTCGAAGTAATAAAGAAGTTCCAAATAAAAAACACCAAAAGAATAAGTCACCCCATCGGCTGTTAAACAAAATAAAGGATACATGAAATATAATAAATAAATAAATATATATATATATATGTATCGTTTACATAGAAATGTTCAAAATTAGAAAATCTTATCAATGAGAATTAAAAACAATATGGCGATTATTTAATTAAAAAACGAACAATTATTGGTGATTATTTGATTAAATACAGATTTAATTATACGAATCATTATGATATGAATATAAATGTTAAATAAAATATAATAAAATGTTAAATAAAATCTTACCAATAATTATTTAAAAAGAATACTTTAATAATACTTTGCTTAATAAGATTTCATTCTGGAAATGAAACAATAGTAAATATATTACAAAACTATATTGAATGACCTATTAAAATAGATATACATATATATATATATTCGTAACTATCAGTCGTGAGTAATAAAGATAATACTTTAGTCGATGTCCGGAACAAAACCATCATCGATCTAATTTCATTGTGCATTACAATTGAATTCGTAAAACGATTTTTAATTTCTCTAATTAAAGCACACGCGACTTGACAAATATTATGATAAAATTGATTTACGAGGTCACGAAAAAATATGTTTTATTTTGATTATTAATAGCATTGAGGAGCGGTTTTATCATTATCTTAACAAGGAAAATATAAGATTTGAATTTCTTTGATTATAATATGCTCGTTTTAAAGATACATTTATATTAAAAACTGTTAACAACACAAATACAAATGAAATTTTGCGATCAAAATGATCGAATAATATAATACAATATAATTGTACGAGAATGTTAATTCATTTGAATGAACGTATAATACGAGAATAAAACTGAACAACAAGAGAATGATAAGAGGAAATGATGACTCAAGTCAAAAAATGTCTTTTTTTTTTTTTTTTATAGAAAAGAAGAGACAAATATACAGTGTATTCTCAACTGTAAACGTACAAAAAATGTTTCTTTTTACAACACAACACCGTTTCAATTAAAGTCAACAAAGGTTATCTAAATTTGACTTTTTTTTTCTTCTTCTTCTTCTTCAATCTTTTCGCAGATAAATATGTAAAATAATATATGTATATTTGTATCTTTTTTATTGTCAAAATTTACGTACTGTATTTTCAGCACGTAACTTCGAATGATAACATAATAATGAAATAATCATAAATCGTTTTAATCTTCATCTTCAGTTTCATGCGTTATTCTATTTACAAATGAAAATGTTATCGTTAATTTAATGCATTAATTATTATTTATACATGAACTATATTTGAATATTTCAATCATTGTATCAAATAAATTTATCGTGCATACAAAATTTCAAATACAAATTTATACATTCTTTTGTGTTTTTTTTTTTTTCTATTTTTAAATAATTAAATACCTAATCGATTTTTGTATTATAAATTATTGTTTAATGTTCACAAATATTGATCAAAAAAAAAACGTGGAAAAATTCCAGTTTTGGTTTTAGCAAAAAACATACAACAAAATGGAGTCTTATACATCATCGTAAATATATATATATATAACACATATACAATATGTTAAAGATAGTTCGGAGATGATATTCTTTCTTCTCAAAACGTTCGTTTCAAAGAACTTTAGAGTTCCTTTCGTCAAATTCACGATGCAACAAAGAAAAATCATGTTGGAAATAAATGACGCATGTTTTATATATATATATATATACAGTTTTACGCTTCACCGATCATGAAATTTCGACGTTACCATTTTTATCGTGAATTGATATTTGATATTGATCATGATATTATCAAATTCTTGATTATTTTTTAACAATTCTATCTCTATTAAAGATTGTAAACACGAAAAACAACATAGAAATAAGGTAATCAAAATCGGGGGAGCTTTATCGCGAGTGTTTTGAACAAATCGTGAAACTCATTGACCGTTGAACCACGAGAGAGATGATCTATATTTAATAAAATAATAAAATGATCGAAAAGTATTTGTCAAAGAAACTTATTTAATGAAAATACAAGTTTTACTATATTAAAAAAAAAAAAAAAAGGAGGAAGGAAGGAAGGAAAGAAAGAACACAAAAGAGAATAAATCGAAACTTCGTATGAACGTATGAAAATACAAAGATACAAATGTTTTATATATTGAATCACGAGAAATGATTCATGTTATAAACAGCAAAATGAAAACTAGAAAAGGATCAATGTCTTTTATCAAAGATCACGTACGTGTATGATAGAATGGATACATTGTGAAATTCAAAAGAAAAATGCGGTCGAGGACGTTTGACAATTCGATATTTTCATGGAAATCGCGTGACTATGCGGATTTAAAATTAAAATAAAAAAAACAAAAAAGGAGATAAAGGAAATGAAAAGAGAAAAAAAAAATCAAACAAAAAGAAAGAATAAATGATATCAATGATAACACTTACTAATAACGTGTATGAGAAAGGACGCAAGGACGACGAACCAGCCCCATCCTCCGTCTGGTGGTTTTGATAAACCATTAGTAGTAGTCCTTGTAGAATGATTTTCCATTAACGAATGTGTTTCCTCGACATTGTTATCTTTTAATTGAATTTTTTGAACAGTTTCCTCCTCTTCCTTTGTTGTTTCAGATTTCGAGCACGCACTTGCACTCACACACGCCATGAGTTTCGCGATCTATCGCGCGCGTTAGCGCGCAACCAACTATCCAGTCTTGTCTTTCGATTCTGATTGTAAATACGAATCTGAGAAGCTATTATATTAAAGAGAACAAGAGAGAGAGAGAGAGAGAGGGTCAACGAAACCCCTGACGCTACCGTACATATGAATATCTCTTTTGTATATTTATACTTCTCTACCCCTACCCTCCATTTTTGTTTATTTATCAATGACTTTCAGTTAACGGCTCTTCTCCTTCGAACCTCAATTTTATTTTCTATTTTATTTTTGTCATATATTATTTCTTATATTGTATTTATTATTCAATCTTATTTGATATCTTCGTAAAAGTGTACATTTGAAATTTTTCGTTCGATATTTCTTTTCGATTAATCGATCAGTCGATCTATGTAGTATGCGCGCGCATTTCATTCAAATGAAGTACCGTATATCCTTGAATAATAATTATTTTCTTGATATTATTATTAAATAATAGTACGAAAATAATATCATATTTTTAATTATTGTATAATAATATATTATAATATGTGTTGCGTTACAAAATATAATAATTATATATTGTTAATTAATAATGATTGATATATTATTAAAAAAAAAAGGAAGTAACGTATTCATGAAATGCTTTTTTGGATATTAGTTAATCTTAAATCAATTTATATTATTTTATTCACATTGTTTATATATATATATATACATATATGTATATATTTAAGTTTATCACCTTAAATGAAGCTTTCACAGTGCATACAAAATATAAAATACAAATTCTTACAAGCCTTACAATTCTTACATGCTCCATTTAGATAAAATGAAATTTACAATTTTTATCAAAAAATAAAGTTTTTTGCGAGAATTATTGGAATTGTGGAAAAACATTTCTGTTATAGTTCACCAATAATTACGCATTATTAAAGTAACAAGAATATATATATATATTTAATTTAATGATAGATATGTAAATGATTAAAAATAGAAATGTTGTTAAATGAAGAAAATTAAGTAATTTCCCTGGTCACTTCGTCCAAACGTTTTATATGCTTATCCGATTGTGGCAATACTTCATAAGTACAAATTGTAACACCATGTTGATGACCTGGTGTCCATTCTCCTTTTAAACCAATGTAGTAAATTTTGGATCTTTCCGCTCCACCATTACCAACAAAATGAAGACTCAAGTGATTTACGGTGGAGAATTTAACGACTCTGTTATGAACAACATAAACAATAAATACATTATACGTTGTATTTATATTTAATAATATTTACATACCGTAAAGGATATTCATGTACACCATTTTCATCATTACAAAGTTCAAATTCTTGATCTGCTTCTATTGTAACATCATCAAAAGTCATATGTGGTCGATTCTTATATCTAAATGAAATATTAAAATGATCAAATACATAAGAATATTTATATTTTATTTATAATACTTACAATTTTACTTTATTTGGTCGTGTTTGATCTTCACCTCCTATTATAATAAGTCCTTTTAATTTAACATTTCCTGTAAAGCTGTAACATCAATTAATATTATATTTTATTTTATAATATTACAGTTTCAATGTAAATGAAGTTTGTTAACTTACGGTATATTGAAAAGTAGTTCATTATCGAGATCACTTTCGACGAACTAAAATGAAATACATTTATATATTAATATTTGATATATTTTATGACATGTTTATCAAAATTTACCTTACTGGTATCTAATCTTTCTTCCCATGGTTTGAATACTGTCACCCCACTATTCTCTTGATATTCATTTAAACATTCAACATTATCTTTATCTATTTTGCTATATAAATTATATTGAACCCCTAATTCTCCATCATTATGTACACTTCCACAACCACATTGATGTTCCATGTTTAATACGTTAATAAAATAATTCTGATTATTCCCTTATAAGAATTCTAACCTTTGCAATTTCTAGAATAATCAAATGTTAGTACATGCGCAATAATAACAAATTTGAAATACGGTTAAATTTAAATATTACATGTGTGTACACACGTACATGTGTCATGAGCCGGGACTGTCGTTGAATATTATTGAAACTTTGAAAAAACAATATATATAAATTTTTAATTTTTTTTTACAATCTTTATATATTATATACTTAAAAATGAAATATCAAAATAGCTGATGGAATTTAAAATAATTATTTTTAATTATACTAACTATAATATTATTTTTAAGAGATTAAGATTTTAAATTAATAATAATATTAAAAGAAAAAAGTGTATAAAATACTCTACTTATAAAATGCAATTGTCCTTTGTTTTTTTTTATTTTTTGATAACAAATAAATAATATCAAATGTATATATATATATATAAATAATTACCAAAATCTTTGTACGTTAATTGATGCGTTAGAGAACACAAGAAATTTACTGAACATTTTCGAATATACAAAACATTTTGATGGTTGGTAGCGCTGTAGCTGTCAAACGGGCAATTTTGAAACTAGATTTGCCACGTAGCAGCCAATTTCGTAATATTTTCAAATGTTCATTAATAATTTGTTTGATCAAATACGCCTACAATAATTCTTACTATAACCTATTATTAATTTGCATGTAAGTTTGCTTTGATGATTCATAATTCCATTGTGAAATAAAGAGATAATACTATTGGTCGTTACATACAAAACATCTTTTCACATTTCGAATGTCCACCAATGAGTGAATAGTTAAGATTTGTTTGTGTGTGTATGTGTGTATGTGTCATCGTTCGTAAAAAATTAGAACGAAGCTGTCAAAGGGAAATGTAGAATTTACAAAAGATGTCTTGACCTCTCTATTGACTAGTTAATAAAGATTTTCGATATTTCAATCAAATTATTTTGAAGAAAAATAACTAACGTTAATACAAATAACGTCCATCAAATTCTCTAAGTAAATCATTTTGATTTTAATGACAGATTGTTTGACGTTTATTCTCCGCCATCATTAATACAGACAGTGAACTGCCATATTGCTCGTGTTAAAAAGGATTCTTAACTATTTACTTAAAATCGGGTAATATATCTGAATTTAGTGATAGAACGAGTAGTTAATGTGGTAAAAGTAACGATAAGAATCATTTCGAGCATTGTTAAACAGTATAAAGTTTTAGCGTAAACGTGTTACAAGAGGTGAGTAGTACATTTAACAAAATTTTGACATCATCTTTTTCTCTTTCTTTTTTTTTTTTTTTATATCCATCGAATAGTTAGTATCAGTAGTGTAATTCAGGTTTGTAGTACCTAAGGTTTGTTCAAGTAACCATTAACTTCTATAATAATCATTTAATTTATGTGTGTTGTCTTTTAATATTACAAAATTTCTATTAACAATTAAATATAATATAACAGTATATATTTATATAGATATATATACATGATTGTACTTTCAGAGTAAAAAATTTCATATTATCTGATTAATGACGTTCCAATTCTAAATAATAATATTTTTATTATTTGCATCATATAATATAGAAGATGTAATAATTAATTGAATAAATCAAAGATGGAGATTAACATAAATAAGTGATCATCAAGTGTTATATATTTTTATAGGTACAAAATGTCGACTGGACCATACAATTATTCATATATTTTTAAGTACATTATAATAGGCGATATGGGAGTAGGAAAATCGTGTTTACTTCATCAGTTTACAGAAAAGAAGTGTAAGTGGATTTTTTTTTGTTTTTTCATTCAAATCATTCATTTAACATTTTTCAATGTTGTGTTATTTTTTGTTTTGTTTTTTACAGTTATGGCTGATTGTCCGCATACAATTGGCGTAGAATTTGGTACTAGAATTATTGAAGTAGCAGGTCAAAAAATAAAATTACAAATATGGGATACTGCAGGACAAGAACGTTTTAGGGCTGTTACTAGGTATTTAAAGTTGATCATTGTAATTGTTTGTTTTGATTCGTACATTTGAATTTGATTGAATAATAACATGAAAATATATTATCTATTTATATATATATATAGATCGTATTATCGTGGTGCTGCAGGCGCATTAATGGTTTATGACATTACACGTCGTTCTACGTATAATCATCTGAGCAGCTGGCTTACAGACACGAGGAATTTGACCAATCCAAGCACTGTATGCAAAATATGATATTGTACATAATGGTATTTATATCTGTAAAGTGTAACTCTCTATTGGCGTGTATTTGTTAGACATTCTTTTATTCATACCATTTAAAAAAAAAGAAGAATAAATAAGACATTAGATTTTATTTAAGGTAATATTTCTGATTGGAAACAAAAGTGATTTGGAAGATCAACGTGATGTAACTTACGAAGAAGCCAAACAATTTGCCGATGAAAATGGTCTTATGTTTGTTGAAGCTAGTGCTAAAACGTAAGCTTTTACTTATTTATGATATTATTGATTTTTCTTTTCATTCTTGATTATTTTCAAACAGCGGACATAATGTTGAAGAAGCATTCTTGGAGACAGCAAAGAAAATATTCCAGAGTATACAAGATGGACGGTAAACAATATTCTTTTTATATGAAATATAATTTATACAATTACAAACGCAATTAACTAAAGACATTTGATTTAAATGATTATTACATTTTTCTAGATTGGATCTAAATGCTGCTGAATCAGGTGTCCAACATAATCCTAGTCAACCTGGTCGTACTAGTCTTCAAGGAGTGTCAAATGAACAACAAGGAGGCAAAGATTCCTGCTCTTGTTAGGTTATTATTTGTTTGTATATATAAGTGGATTAATTCATCAATATTATTAATGCATATATGATTTATACTAAGTATAGCAAGCAGATCATCTCTTATCTAATATCCTCCCTTGATCTTTATAAGTGAAGTCTACTTAATAACAAAGAAACAAAAAAAAAGTTAAAGAAAAAAAACAATGTTTCAGGATATTTTTTTTCAGATAATAATAATAATAATAATAATAATAATAATAATAATTTGAAGTAATATTATCTGAACATTTGACGCAGTATAGATATATATATGTTATATAAAAAAGTTATTTCTCAATGATATCAGTTTTATGGCTGGCATTCCAAACGGTGTATTAACAATGTGGTTTTTACATGGTTATGGCAACTTATATATATTTTGTATACTATATATATTCTGTTGTGTAATTGGATAGGTATAGTGTCTCTCGTACGATATAACAAATTATTCAAGCCATGAAGAAGCCCTTTTATTATTTAAAGTGCAGCGAATGTTATAATGGATATTTGAAAGTAGCTTTGTTGGTGTGTATAGTATAAGTTATATTATATTATATTCTTTAAAAAAAAAAAAAATTAATTAATATAGGCCTATATACATATATATATTTCTCATATGTACATACTACATGGAAGTTGATGCTAAATTTGAAAAACTAAACTCTCTGTACGATTTAACAGGCCAAATATGATTTTACAGTAGAAACATGGACACAAGGATACATTTTTGCAATGCCTTTGTTTTTGCCTTCTGACAAGAAAATACAAAAACAAAGAAGCTTACCTTTCCATTTTTTTCTAATAATTATTATTCATGAAAAAGAAGAAGGTGTTCCTGTGCCAGGCAAGAACTTGCTATGCTTGCATATTTTTAATGTTATATTATAATACAAGCTGATAGAACAGTTTATGTACAATATGATATTTGCAAAACTTGATACTTCCTGTAGTGACATGTGTAGAATTTCTAATAATTTTCAATAGGTCTATTCATTTACCTCTTGCATAGTAAATCTAATTAAACGTATTCATTATTACGAGTGTATTCAGCATCATCGTATTTTTATATGCTAGATTCTTTTCAGCACAAATAAAATGATCTTTCATTGATGAGAATAATAAGCATTATATAAGCATTTTGCAAAGATAATTACATTCCAAATTCTTAGTTAAATGCACGAATATCAGGGAAATTTCTCAATTTGTTAAATCTCATTGCTCTCTCTCTCTCTCTCTCTCTCTCTTTTTCTCTCTCTCTTTTCAATGTGAATCTTTTTAAAAAATAAGAAGTGTCTTTATACATAACACTATATGTAGATAAATGATGCTTCTGCTGCTTTCCAATAACTATAACAAAACAAATAATTATTTGTTATATACTTGGTTCACATTGCACAGTCCTGACAATTTAATAACCCAAATAAGGAATACAATATTTGATAAAGAATCGTTTTAAGCTTCTTCATCTTCTTGGCTCATTCAATTAATAAATTGACGAATATTCATTTATAAAAATATAAGTTTTCATATTTCAAAATGAAATATATATATCTATTTCTGTAATTATGAGGAAGTCTCAACTATTCTTTTTTAAGTTTTGTATTCTATTTTAAAAGCACCGTTTAAATCCATTTATTGATGTTTAAAAAAACCAAATCTTTTTAGTCTCTAAGAGTGATATATTCGTATAAGAGGAAGAAAAATGTTTAAAAACAAAAAGAAAAATAACAAAAACAAAAAAAAAACAAAACAAGAAGAAGAAGAAGAAGAAAAAATAGTAAAGTTATTTTTAAGTAATTATTTATATATAATTCTGATATATATATATATATATATATATTATATATATATATATATATTATAATTTCCTGCATTTGTAATATCATTATACAATAGATTAATCAAAATAAACCTGACCAAAGCCTCTTAGATCTATATAAATCTAAACAAATGTGACATTTTTATGGATATGAAACAATTGCAAAATAAAACCTTCATCTAGTTTCTTTTTTTTTTTTTTATTATTATTATTATTATTATTCTTTTCAGTTATCTTTAAATATATTTAAGTTACAAAATTTGTATAATTGATACATATATTATAAATTCTTAAAAGTAATTTACAAGATTTGAATATTTTCAAAGATTTTTATAATAATTATTTGTAAAAGGTAAAACATGAACAAATTTATGTTATTATCAGTTTATTTTTATTCCATTTTCATTGGAATTAATAATTTATCTTTCTTTTTTTTTTTTTTTTTGAATAATTCAATAAGTAATCATTTATTTTCTTTCAAATTAAATTAATCGTTTTGATTTACTACGTAAATCATTATCGTTACAAAAAATATTAGGGAACTCGTGAATATTGCAAAATTGTAAGATCCTTAATTTTTTATTATATTTTAATCATAATTTTGATCCTTTATCCAATACTCTGTGTATTTACTGTAATACTATATATATATATATATATATATATATATATATACCCTGTATTTGCAGTGAATAAGCAAAGACATTATTTGCAAGTCTTCATAATTTTGATGAACTTGACTAGCAATTTATTTAGATCAATATCTTAACTAATAAGACATTTATTAAAAAATTATTTTTATTATAATTCATTTGATATTATGTATATTCTAAAATTTCAAGTTTATTAGTTTGTTACGTAACAGATGACTAACGTCACTATGGTTCAGTGCTGTCAGATCGTGGGTAAATCTTACCCTCTCCCTGTGCCACTGGGATTGCACACAATGAAAGTTTTCCATGTCCGTGTGTTTGGGATGTCGAGGAAAGCCGAGTGTAACCGAAGTTGGCGGGCACGCCGGAGTGGCACACTATGAAAGCGACTCGTGTCGAAACACGAGTGTCCGAACACATGGACACGAGTCGCTTTCATAGTGTGCCACTTCGTGGCCAACCGCCAACTTCGGTTACACTCGGCTTTCCTCGACATCCCAAACACACGGACATGGAAAACTTTCATTGTGTGCAATCCCAGTGGCACAGGGAGAGGGTAAGATTTACCCACGATCTGACAGCACTGCTATGGTTAATAGTGTGATGTCACGTGGTACGTGACATAAGTTTAACAAGAGTGTTTGTTTTTTGTTTTGTGTTTGTTATTATGTCAACCATTTTTATATATAAACAGTATTCATTCTGTATATTTTAAATCAATAGAATTAAATTAAAGATTTAATGAAAAAATAATTACAAATAAAATTTAATTAATACGCAATAAATAATACAATTCATCATGGTTAGTGATTAAATCAATAAATAAATTTCCCGCTAAAAGTTGCAATTCAAATGACATATTGTTATTTTGTTTTTTCATTGGTCAATTTAGTGTTTTTTATTTTTACAACAGATACCAATTTCATATTAGTGATTACTTAAATTTATATTTGACGCAGCAAATTGTTTAAAAATCGTTTCAATTATATATATATATATATTTGAATAAACATTTTCCGTAATGACCATTTGTCGACAGTAGTCGTTGATCGATTAAATCGTAAAATTAGATTGTTCCTGTTTATCCGATAATTAAATAATCATTCAAAATTATTTCGTTATCAAGAATAAAACAATTTTTATTACCACTAGCCTTGTTTTTGGCAGCGGTATATATTTATGAAATGGCTAACTTTGGAAGATTTAAAACAAAAAACAACCTATATTTAATGTATCATTTAAAACGTAAGTAATATGTCAAAATTGTTATACTTAAGACAAAAAAATAATATTTTAGTAGTACAATGACACTTGATTTTTGAAGTGTTTCATTATTTAATTGATAATTAAAGGGTATAATGTTATTATTAAACAAACACATTGTTTATAGGATCAGGTTTTATTAAAACACAACGTGTTTATGATGCCATGTATGCTGTTGATAGAAAATATTTTATAGATTTACCTTTTTCATATATTGATGCACCACAACTAATTGGATATGGTGCAACAATAAGTGCACCTCATATGGTATTTATTTATATCATATATACATATATATATATATATATATCATTAATAAGATTACAAATTTGAGATATTTTATTTTGACATTTTTTTTTTCTTCTTTCTGAACAAAAACAAAAATGATACAAGTATAAATTGATATTTGTATAAAATATTAAAAAAAAAAAAAAAAAAAACTGAAGAAATGAAAGAAAAATGAAAAGTTGGAATACAAATGAGAATTGTTTAGCATGCACATGTCTTGGAATTACTACAAGACAGATTACGTGATGGTGGAAGAGCATTAGATGTTGGTTCTGGATCTGGTTATTTAACAACTTGCTTGGCATACATGTTAGGACCTCATGGAACTACGATAGGAATTGAACATATTCCAGAACTTCAAGAAAAAGCTAAATCAAATATAGAAAAATGTTATCCCAATTTTCTAACTTATGGACGTATTGAATTAATTGGTAAATTGATATATTATTATTTATTTTCTACTTTTACAATAGATTATTTTTTTTTTTGTAAATTAGTTGGAGATGGAAGATTAGGATATTTACCAAAAGCACCTTATGATGTTATTCATGTTGGAGCAGCAGCAAAGGAAGTACCTCAACCTGTAAGAACTCAGATTTTCATTGAAAATAATTTCATTTTTTGATATATATATATATATCTTGTAATTTATTCAAGTGTTTCATTTTATTTATAGTTAGTCGATCAATTAGCTTTTGGAGGAAGATTGATAATTCCAGTAGGCGCAGATTCTTCAAATCAAACATTAATTCAAATTGACAAAACAATGGATGGAGAAATTGAAAGGAAGTCATTAATGGGTGTAGTATTTATACCACTTACCGATAAAGATTATCAATTGAAATCATTAGGGTTGTGTAGTCTCCAATAAGTGAGCATCATTTTGTTATTTATGATTATAAATATTCATCATATTGTTTTGTAATTAATTTGTCATGAAAAAAAAAAAAACAAAACAAATATTGAATGAGAATGAAACGAAATAATTTATATATTTACAAATATTTCAAGTTTATTTAATAATACATTTTGTGCTAATTCATTTCATTTGTTGAAAATATGAAATAGAATATTTCTAATAAAAAAGTTAACTAATTATTTATATATATATATATATATATATAAATGTTAAAGAATAAAACTAAGGATTATCTAACTATAATGAAATAAAAAAAAACAAACAAAAAACGTGCAAATAATATTACAACAGTATATTCTGTAATTATTTTTATCATTGATTTATGTCACTTATTATTAATTATATAATTATTCATTATAACACAGATCTGTGTACATGAAACATTTAATTAAGAATGTATAAATAATAAATGCTGATTTGTGTGACTAGAATTTCAATATTTCATATTGCAAATATGATTATAGAATAATATTATTATCAATGATAAACATATATAAATGTGTATACTTATTTATAAAAGTTTTATATGTTGGATAACATTATAAAATTACCATATGAAAAACATTCATGTCGAATGTTGTCAAATAATCATCAAAATTTGATAAATTTTAGTGTCTTAATATAATAAGAATAGTCAAATATTATTTTTAAACTACATCAAATGTTACTATTTTAAAATGTTACATAGATCATCTCATTGATACTTATAATTCTATTATTGTACAAATATATTTTTGTTATTACTTTACAAATGTTTCTTTATATCAATGAATATAATGATTATTATTTAATTAGCTAGAAACATTGTGATATTGTTTATAATAATAATAATAATTATTATTATTATATTACGTCATAATACCCTGAAAACCATGATTTCAATGGAATAATGTATCACATAAGAAATGATCAAATGTATCTATAATGAATATATATATATATATATATCTTGAAGATTTGCTAAACACTCTCTAAAACGAATTTAAATGATGTACTTATGTTTTAATAGTATACAAGGCAGTATAATTAATTATATATATATATATATATATATAGATATACCTTAGTTATATTACAAAGCTTTAACCATGTAAAGACTTAGTGCTGCACCAGTTGTTAATCCTATGCCAAGGAAAGCTCCCATCATGGCAGATGCAATTTCTTTTTCTTGTGTATTTACCACTCTGTATATAAAAAACAAAAAAGATGTATAAAAATGTATAATTTCATTTAACGAACAACAAAAAAAAAAGAACAATGTAAAATAAACTACACTCACGTTGGAACTAATATGAATGATAAATTACACAAATAACCATTAGTTACAGCAAATGCAATAGTTATTAAAATGTAATATATGTCACTATGAATATAAACAGGTAAATTATGTCTTGGTTGTGCATTACAGAACATTAAAGCTGGTATAAAAATAATTCTTGCTATGCTTAAAAACATGACATAGTATGGTTTATTTTTAGGCTGTAATCAAAAATGTTTTATATATTAATAAAGTTATGTTAGTCATTGGTATTATTATTTCAATTACCATTTGTAATATGCCTGATAAAACTCTACCAGCATAATCTCCTGTGCTAAAAATGAGATATGTTACCACAGGTACAAAGTATACATCTAAAAACAGAAAATAGTTTTCAATTCATTGAATTTATTTCAAATGATTAGTTAATATGTGTATGATGAAAGATGAAATTGAACAAACCATTCCAAGCATATCCCTTTCCTTTATGTTCACTTTCTACTAAGACAGTTATAGCTGGATAAACTGTGAGTGATATAAAGAATACAAGGAATACGCTAATACCATAATGCCACATTTTTTTAATAATATTTATATAAGAAATTGTATGTACTTGTGAAAACATCACTTCTGTATTAACAGAATATTCAGTGTCAATACGTTCAGGAAATTTATCCAACATGTGATGTTTGAAAAATGTCTATAAATAAAAAGAAAATATATATTTATTAATAATACATAAGTGTGTAATAAAAATACTATGTATTAAATGAATACATTCATACAAAATTAGAACAATAATAAAAGATAATATACAGTGTCTGTGTTTCTAATAAATTCTATATATGTAATATGTTAATAATTTTGATCGTTACCATAAGCGGCTTAATGTATATTAATAAGAGTCATAACAAAGTTGTAAATAACCATCTGTGATAAAATAAAATAATATTAACAAATTCTTTTTTAATTGAATTCTCTTATAAAAAGAAACACACATACACAAAGAAATATATATATATATATATATATAAATTTATAATAAACATTAAAATACTTACTGCTTTTTCTAATATTATATATGCAATTAAAGAGAGCAATAATATAGCATCTCCAATAATAAAATACACTAAGCCTGAAACCATAGGACTAGCACCAACCCAAAGTGAAATAACTTCTGCTAAAGCTGTAAATATTCCTCCTAAAGCTTGGCCCCCAGACATAGCTGTTATATATTTTGGAGAAAAACGTCCAACTACGCCCATTAAACTACCACCAAAAATAGCACTTGCAGCTGAAAGATTAATTAATGTTTTACATATATATTACATCTGATACATTTTAAATATTAATATATTAGTTTTAATATTTACATACCATTTACAAATGCTACAGTAGTTAAAGTTATGATTAAAAATGTAGCTTGCCCTATAAAAATATAAAATAAGTTAATTCAATTAATTTATTTGTATATATTTTATTTAAATACATTTTACTTACATTTATCTGTATTTATTTTAACAAATACAGTCGTCATTATAAATAATAAAAGAATAATACATTGAGATCCTATCATTCTTGTTTTTAAAGGTACTCTGAAAATGTGAATATTTTTTTTTTTTAATCAAAAAAATGACGAATTAAATTCTTACAAAATACAATATTACAGAATTTTTATATATACTTACGATTTACTAATAAATGTATTTAATATTAGAAATAATGTATTTGGTAATGCGCTTGCCACATTTAAATATGAAGTAAAACTAGCTTGAAGATCTGTCTTTGTTTCTAAATTTTCTGTATGATTATAATCAACAGTTCTAGTATCATTATCATGAATTTGTCGAAATTTGTACATCCAATACTAAAATTATAATATAAATATATATATATAATTAAATTTAGTTAATATTTTTGGATACATGTATTAAATAATACTCGTGTAGCTTACTGTATAAATAATAGATTAATATGAAACTTACATCGTCAGCAGTAATAAAAAAACTCCATGGAATTAATACATTTATACCAAGCAGATAAAAAACTATATGGGCAAAGTGATATCTGTAAATAAAGAAAACAAACAATTTATATATATATATATATACATTTAGATTTGATTACATACTAATTAAATACATAATATTACACGAGTAATATGTGATAGTAATATAAAAATACCTATCAAGTGGTTCCTCTTGTTTAAGAAATGGTTTTTCATCAGGAATAGATATATTTGGATCATCAATTTCAGTTTCCAAATCATCTTCAAATTCACTATCAGATACACCCCCTAATAAGGGTCTTCTATTAATAGAGTATGACATAATAATGATTTCTAATACATCTGGAACAATGTTCTTTGTTAGAATATTCTTTTTATTTTCATTGATATTGAAGACAACAAAATGGTCTTTTGTTCAAGTATCCTTCTATTAAAAAAAAAGAAAAAAATGTAAATGATTCATTATAGAGATAAATTATATATAAAAATATAGTATAACAAATCAATTGTAATAGGAAAAAAAAAAAAAAAAGAAAAAGGAAATCACATTTACGTACAGTAAAAGTATGCAGAGTGTTGTCCTTCAGAAGTAACCAATGAAAGTAATTTTTTGTAATATTAGAATCATGTTCACTAAACAGTCGTTCAAACTATTGTCGATATTACCAAGCAATTCATTCCTTTTTATATTATGATCCAATATGATTCAACAATATTGATGACATCTGTCAGATCTTATAAGTCTGATTAAAACTCCATAATCTGTTGTTTTTGTTACAAAGCGAAGCGTGTTTGTGTCTTAATCACTTATTAGACATACTTCAAAGTCCCCACCTTATCATAAAATATCTAGGGATCTGTATTATCGATGTATCGTTCTATATTATCGAAGTATCGTTCTGTTTTATCGACATAAGATGATTGGGCGGTAGTAGGTATTTAAGGTTATGGCGGTGCAGTGATATCAAATAATACATTATTATTTTGTTGCAATGGTAAATAGTTATTTGTTATTAATAAATAAAGAATTTAATTAAAAAAGTGCATTTAATAATTGAACTGTTTATATAATTAGGTTAGGTTATTGTATTATTTGATTGTTTGATATTAATATAGTTTTCTTCTTGTTATAGGTTATCATCGTTGAATTTGACAACATACCATTATAAATGCTATTCTAAAAGGGATACACACAATGCTGTATTATTTTATTGCAATGGTAAATAAATATTTTAGTATAAATAGATAGAAATATTTAAATTGAAAACATACATCTATAAATTGAATTATTTATATGTTAGGTTATTGTATTATTTGATTGTATGTGATTAATATAGTTTTCTTGTTACAGGTGATCATTGGTTGAACTTGACAGCATACTTTTGAGATTTTCTTCTATTTGAAAGCTCTCTACAAATTTACATGTACGTATAAATGCATTTCTTAAAGGTATATACACATAAATACAAAATAGTAATTATAATAATTAAAAATAATTAATTGAGATATATATAATCATAATATGAAATATTTGATCAAAGATTTGACAGATTTTTTTTGATAAATAGAAAAAAAAAAATACAGCTTACCTGTACGAAGAAGAAGAAAGCTCAGATGATTAATTTGTCTGAAAGTATTGAAATTTTGTCTACTTTTTCCTAATAAACTAAATAAATTTTGTGATTCATAACGTGCAAGATTTTGATGGATTTTGCAAGGGAACTGTATAAATTTTGTATTTTATTTTTCTTTTCTTTTTTTTTTTTTAGGCAAGGATAACGAAACTGTTTATATATCTTCGTTAGACGTTTAATCTCAGTTTACAAAAGTTTTAATTTTTTTTTTTTTTTTTTTTTAAGAATAGTTAACAGTATTTTTGCTTGTTACAGTATTTCATCGATAATACAATAAATTGCGATAAATCGTAGTGCGTACGAACTAACAACGAAAAAAAAAAAAAACAGGATTGGACATTTTATAATAACAAAACGTCTCTCAACGTCCTTATATTATCTTCATTATTTTTCATTTAAAAAAAAGAAGAAAAAAATTAAAAAAAATAAAAAAAAGAACAAAAAATCAATGCGAGAACACCAGATAAATTCGTTAATTCTTATTAATGTTGTTTGTTGTTTTATGAATTTCATTTGTTTATACAATGTGAACCGTTTTATCCGTGCGTTTCGTTCCTTTGTTTTTTTTTTGTTTCATTGCTTTTACAGTTAATTGTACGGAGATAATATAGCCGCCATTATTTTCTCATTTCCCTGTCACAAGAGAGTGCATTTTATAAATCATGGTTTTTCTTTTGTTTACGACATAATAACTATATACAGAATTATCCTAATAATAAAAGGATTACCTTCATTAATTTCGATAATATATAATATAATACAATGTTTCTTTCCTAGAAATGTATTTTTTTTATTTTTTTTTNTTTTTTTTTTTATATATATACCATTTGGCAAAAGCGTGTCAATAAGTGATCACCAGTTTCGAGATATCATTTTATTATTATTATTATTATTATTTTCTGCTCTCTCCATAGGTGAAGAAGAAAGCCATGATAAAATCGTATACACGTGAGTTTTTATATATGTATCGTATATTTCAAAATATACGTTGGTCTTCTTCTTAATACTTTGTAAAATTCGTTAATTCGTCAATTGACGAATAACTAAAAAAAAAAAAAATAATAACTATACTAATAAGCTTAAATATGAATGAAGGCAGCAGAATTGCATAAAATTAATTGCAATTATTACATTGTATTATAAATTTACAAGAGAGTTGAGTAATTCAATTAAATATTCAATTCAAATTTGATCTCAAATATAAGAAATTATATATAGTCATCGATTTACAATTTTATTTTAATAGTTTTTTTGTTTTTTTTTTTTTATATCAAACTGTTTTGTAAATCCCGGAGATATGTGTTTAGTTTTTTAGTTTCATGACTTTTCAAAAGGGAACAATTATTTCATCATAAGATTGAATTTTTCTTTGATTTAATATGAGTTCAAATAAAATATTATTTAAACAATGAATTAATAAATAATTCAAACAAATTCATTTAATAAGTTTTCATAAAATATAATTTAAACAATGAAGTTTCCTAAATCCTTTCTTATCTTTTTACTTATACTTTAATTACTCGTCTCTTGTAAATTGATATATATATATATATATATTTTTTTTTTAAACTACAAGTTTGCATAATAAAATTCCTGTTACATGTTTTTCCAAAAAACAAAAAAAAACAAACAAACATAGAATTTTCATAATTCAACTGACAATTTAAAATGTCGACATATATATATATAAAACTCACAGTGATTCGTTGCGAATTGACTTGTTCAATAAAAAAAAAAAGAAAAAAAAAGGAAAATACAATTAAAAGTAAGATAATAAAATCTAAGATAAAAATATTTTCGCGAAAATCTAGTTAAATTATAAATAATAGCTTGAAATTAAATTCATTGATGAGATTCTCTTTGAAGCTTCGTGATTTTAATATTTATTATTATTATTATTATTAGGATAAATCATGTAATGCACCAGTGATCATTTACGAAACGTGTGCAATTACAAAAAATTCATCTTTCACTTTTCCCCTGAACGCCGCAAATTTGCTTTTTTTTTTTAATTTCTTTCTTTTTTCTTTTTAATTCATAAGTTCGCTTTCCTCACATGAATGCATCCCCCTCCCTTTTTTTATCACCGTTTTCCAACATTTGTTGTTGTTGTTGTTGTAAATTTTACATTGTAAATAAGATATTTTAAAGAAACAATTTTTTAAATATTAATAAAACAAACGGAAAGAATTTTCGGGGGGTTTTTTTTGTTTTTTTTCACTGAGAGACATACAGTGAAATCATTTTGATGAAAAATCTTTGAGTGTGTATTTGTTTTGTTTTTTTTCTTTTTTTCAATTGGACGACAATAAGCATGAAAATTTGTTCTGCTGTTCTTTTTTTGTTTTGTTTTGTTTCTTAATGTTTTTACACGTACTTTTTCTCATTTTTACTGTAAAACATAATTGACGAAACAAAATGCTGAAGTAGCGCCTACTATCGACGAATCCCTTTAATAAACAGCCCCCCTCCTCCATTTTTGTTTTATTCTTCCGTCGTTTTAAATTATTATCTATCTTTTATTGTTCGTTAATTGTTTATTTTTCTTTCTTTTTTTTTTTTTATCGATATTAATTAATCACTAATCGTAAGATATAATACAACAAAGAAGATCGATCGTTCGGTTCGTTCATTTGTTCATTCGTTCATTATTCGTGTGTGTCGATATAACGGCGAGTTTTATTTCCATTTTTTGTTTTAATAATTCTGCAATCGATATTTGTTATTTAACCCTTTGACTGCCATGTTGAAATGCCATGTTGACTGTCACGTTTTGCTCAGGACGCCATTGCATTATTTATTTCAAAGTATCTACAATAATATCGGTCATATTTAAATAAATTAACTTTTAATAGTTTCATTTAGTTGATCAACGACCAGTGTAGTGTTTCAAGAGAAACCATAGCCGGTCATATCAAGACCAACAATGGCTACTGCATTATTTTTATTATTTAAAGAATATAATAACAAAATAATAATAATAAATTGTAATTGTTCAATAGTAGTACACTTTTTATTTCAAAGTATCGATGGTTATATTTAAATACATTAAATTTTCAATTTTCATTTAGTTGATCAATGACCACCGTAGTGTCTCAGGAGAAACATGGCCGGTCGGTCATATAAAATCCAATATGGCAGTCAAAGTGTTAATATAACGCGAGTATACACCTTATTTCTTGTTTTTTCTTTTTCCTGCAAACAATAATTCAATTTTGTAATCAAATTCTGACACATTAGTCATCTTTAATCATCTTTTACAATGTTTTTTTTTGTCTCTAATTTATCATCTTGTTTTTTTTTCTTTTTTTTTTTTTTTTCTTAATAATTATTCAAAAAGCATATTATAGCCAAATTGATAAGTGCAACTACTAAGCGAAAGGTGGTCTATTGCGATGTATGAAAAAAAGAGCTTATAATAAAATTTGATTACGTGACTTAAAATCAATAGTTCAAAAGATACTTTTTCACAAGTAATAGATAATAATTCATTTGAATAATTACAGAAGATAATATGTTTGACAAAAATGATAAAAAAAAAAAAAAAAATCAAAAATTATGTATCGTTTGCAAATATCAAGTTTGCATAAAGAAAGGGATACCTTTTTTTTT